AAAGGCCAACTCATGAGCCAAGCCCTGGGCATTCCTGTCCTGAATCGGATTCTCAGCTTGCACCAACCCAGCAGTGCTGTGTACCTGGAGCCCAACCTGACAGGAAAGACTTTGCTGGCCCCCTGGGTGAAATCAGGTCGCCAATGGAGACCTGATCCTGGTCAGCTGCAGCCAGGGAAGGAAAAGCCAAGACCAAAAGTGGGTGGAGACTGGCTGGGCTGCCCAGACGCAAAGGGGTCCTGGGAGCTGGAAGCAGGCAAGGAAGGACCTGTCACGCATCAGGGCACAAATCCGACTGGGAACACACGTCTGTGTCTGTCATTGACCAACTTTATTGAACGCCTTAAGCAGTCTGCCTGCCTCTGTCGCACGCTCTGGCGGAGGCCAGTTTGGCAGTGTATATACATAGCTGGTGTCACAGGGTGACCACAGGCAAAGAGCCTTCGGTTGTCCTGTGCTCCCCAGACTCGGATTTTTATGCAGACTGCAACCCGGCTGCCTTAGGTGTGCTCAGCCCTCCTTCCTGGTAGCTCTGCAAAGGGTCCTACACTCACCCCCAAGAAGCCCCTCTGTGAAGCACCAGAGGCTTCTTCTTCCCACGGAGTATTAAGTCACTGAGGAACGCAAGGCAGTGCTGTCACTGCATGTGAAATGGTTTATGCGTTTTATTAACAGGCAAAGCTCTCCCCACAATCCCCCAACAATGACTCCAACTCTGTAACATCCAAGCGTGCTGGCTAAGTGTTTTCAGGTCACATCAACTGTCAGGATGCTGTTGCCTGCCTTTGGGCCCTGCCAGGACCGGCCGGGACCGGGCTCGAGGGTACACGGCTGGGAAGCGCCGGGGCAAGGACTTAGGGGCCCAGTCGCCTCGCTCACGTGCGTCAGGTCGGTAGACTCGCGCTCCATCACGCTGCTGTTGCGGGTGCCCGGCGCGGCAGCGCACACGCGGCCCGAGGCTCGGCGTGGGGCACGGCCCAACAGGCCCTCGCAGATTTTGCGGAAGCCTTTGCGGAAGTGCTTGGAGACCAGAGCATAAACGATGGGGTTGACGCAGGAGTTGGCGTAGGAGACCAGGTGCGAGAGGATGCGCAGCGCATAGGTGGCGCGCGTGAGCGGGAAACGGCCGAACCACATGCAGAGGATGAGTGCGTGGTGGGGCATCCAGCAGAGGCAGAAGAGCGCAGCCACGATGAGGATCATGCGCGTCACCTTGCGCTTGGCGCGCCGGGCACCTGAGCCGGCGGCCACCGGGTCGACGGCGCGCCAGAGGTAGCGCAAGGTGCGCGCGTAGGTCAGGCCGAGAACCAGCACCGGAAGCAGGTAGCTGAAGACGAAGGTGCAGAGGTCCATGGCGCGGCGGCGAGGCGCGCTCCACGCAGGATGGCACACGGTCAGGTTTGCCAGCTGTGACTGGCGGTAGTAGCTCAGGTAGGGCCCGGAGAAGAGCAGCGACAGCCCCCAGATGAGCCCGATCGCTGCCAGCGCGTTTCGAGGCGTGCGCAGCTCACGGGAGTGCAACGGGTAGCGGATGGCCAGGTACCTGCGGTCAGGAGGGGAAGGGAGACGTCGGCTGAGCTGGCGCATTCACGCTGGCGGGCCGCGACCCCTGCACCTGGGGCTCCAGGGCTGCTCTCGAGGAATGTCCTTAGCTTATGGTTACACCGCACACGCCGGAGACGGAGGTGAGGCTCGGGGTGAGGGTGGAGGTGGGGGCGACCCAGCGCATCCCAGACACTCAGCGGAGCCTGGAGATGGGGCGGGCCGGCAGCAGGAAAGGTGCGCCTGCAAATCATTCTCCCGCTGCCCCCGGGGATTGCAACCACAGACAACTCCACCGAGAGGGCACCCCAAAGCCCCTGAAGACTAAGGGTTGGAGAACCGGCTGTGGGCTCCGGGAGGCTGAGACTATCCACTAGTGACGGTGCCGTGGGAGGGAGGGAGGGAGGGCCCAGGCGCCTGAGGCTCTAGCAGACAGCCTGGAAAAGACATGCTGGGCAAGGGACAATTAGTTTCTCGGGGGATTCCTGAGAGAATCCGAGCTCTGTGGGTCCCACCAGCGAGCTGGGAACCAACGCACTTCGCGCTCAGTGGCTACATGTGTGTGGTGAAGTCTGGCCTCGCCTCTCTGTTTTTCCGGAGGAAGGAGAGGGGAAGATACCTGGATTTCCTCCCCAGGAACCATCCTAGTGTCCTTTCAAGCTCCACGTGAGCCCCACGC